TGTTTTTTTTTTTTTTTTTATTGTCACATTTACGTAACAAGTGCCTGCCTGCACATTAAATTGGTGTTGCCGTCTAGGGCGTTGCATGCTCTGGGGGTGCTGTATCCAGTGCTGTGTCTGAACATTAAAAAAAATGTCTTTCCGTTGAAGAAGACAGGGGTTAAAATGAATGAAGATCTGAAGGTTAATTTGAGCTGGCTGCCTCAGGATCATGTAGAAGCCAGCTCTACCGAGAATGCCTCAGCCGCAGGCTCCTCCCTGGTTCCTGTCATAGACCCAGAGCCAGAGCTTTTGGTAAACCCCTGGGACATTGTCTTGTGTACTTCAGGGACCCTTATCTCCTGCGAAAATGCCATTGTGGTTCTTATCATTTTCCATAATCCCAGTCTTCGCGCCCCCATGTTCCTCCTGATAGGCAGCCTGGCGCTGGCAGATCTCTTAGCGGGCATTGGATTGATCATCAATTTCATTTTTGCATACCTTCTGCAATCAGAAGCTACGAAACTGGTTACGATTGGACTGATTGTTGCCTCTTTCTCAGCATCTGTCGGCAGCTTGCTGGCTATTACTGTTGATCGTTACCTCTCCCTGTATTACGCTTTGACTTACAATTCAGAGAGGACTGTCACTTTTACCTATGTCATGCTTATATTGCTCTGGGGAGCATCTATCTGTATTGGACTGCTGCCTGTAATGGGCTGGAACTGCCTCAGAGATGAATCCACCTGCAGTGTTATCAGACCGCTCACTAAAAATAATGCAGCTGTCCTTTCAGTCTCTTTCTTGCTTATGTTTGCCCTCATGCTGCAGCTCTACATTCAAATCTGTAAAATAGTGATGCGCCACGCTCATCAGATTGCCTTGCAACACCATTTCCTGGCCACTTCCCACTATGTGACTACCCGAAAAGGAGTGTCTACTTTGGCCATTATTTTGGGGACTTTTGCTGCTTGCTGGATGCCTTTTACGCTCTATTCTTTAATAGCAGATTACACCTATCCTTCTATATACACCTATGCCACCCTCCTGCCAGCTACCTACAATTCCATCATCAATCCTGTAATATATGCTTTTAGAAACCAGGAGATACAGAAAGCACTTTGGCTCGTCTGTTGTGGCTGTATTCCTTCTAACCTGTCTCAGAGAGCAAGATCACCCAGTGATGTCTGATTGGCAGCTAGGGGGACGCTCCTTAACATGTTACTTTCCAGACATTCTTGCAATGCTGTCTTTGGTTTAGATGCATTCATTAAATGGTGTGCGATGGGTTCATATAAAAACCACAGGATGCACTGACCTTTTTGTAAACAGAAAACCCCAGTGACCAAAATGTATCGAGTGGTTTAAGGGAGATTTCCAAAATCAAAATAATCAGTGTTCTTACATATTCATAATGTTGCTCAGGGTCTTTTTGTTATATTACCCAGACTTTGCCATGGTTTTACATTAAGTTTGCTAATTAAAATCAGATTGAAGCAGCATACCTCCTTTGAAATTGTTTATGTGATTGGGTTTAGTCATACTGCATGTTACAGTCTGTTGTCAGGATATTTTTTGCCCTCTTTAATTCTTTTTTAAAACAGAAAAAAAAAAGAAAACCCAAGTCCTGTTACGCCATTTGTATATCATCAGAATACTCTTCAAAATAATGGCCAATTGTACTGATTTATATGGTATTTATTGTAATAATCTCAGTGCAACAAATTTGCTCTAAGTGAGGAAGTACTTGTTTAGCTTTTTATTTTACATCTCGGCATGAATTAGCTTGATAATTGTTTTAAAGGGTTACCTGTTCTCTCCTGAGTTCTGGCTGGATGTTAAAACAGAAGATATGCTTTGCCTTCCTTTTCAAAAGTCATCCATATGTTTTCACTTAGATATGGGACATCAGAGCTCATTAGACTATTAATTTTAAAAGGAATTCAGGGGGGATCTTCGAAATTGATGAAACAATATGGCCTCTTTTGGCTATGCGTTTGTAATAGATGCAACACTAAGTTTCTCACCAAGTTTATCTTTTCAGAAGTGTATAAGAAAATATCTAATAAAATAACCTACAAATTGCTTGCAACATGTATTTAGCATCTACATGAAATGGTTCCCCTTAAGTTTGTTATCAAGTCAAAACTATTAGTTGTTTTCATTGTTCTGCTATATAATTTAAAATACTGCAGTTTATAAATTCTCAGAGCATATCTGGTTCATAATTGTATGCAACCAGAACTGCAACATGAAACAATATTTTCTCCTTTTCTGGCAGTTTCATCCATTACAGACTGTGATTCTTTGCACTGTATGCATGTCAGTTCACTTCATTATAGGACGATAGTTCTGGTCTAAAAAGCAGAGCTTCCTCTCATGAATGGTTAAATTTCAAACCGCTTCTAACCTTTTGCTGAAGGTTAGAATGCACTAGAAATAAAACATTGTTTTCTGATTTGAAGACTCGATTGTCAGAGAGAAAATGTTCCTGGCAATGTCTTTGTGAAACTGAAGGTGTACCCTAGTGCCAGTGCATGGGAGTTTATAGTACCACTTCCATTAGTGTTGATGGGAGCTCAATGTGTTAGTGCCCTGGCATCAGTAGGAGGTTATATTCCCTTGAATGTCAAAGTCAGCACACTGTATTGTTGCTTCAGTATCTTCCCTTACAGTTTAAAAAAACCCCAACAAACTCAAGTGTAAAAATAGCAATATTTACAGTTCAATGAAAAAATATACCTGTATAGTATAGATAGTAGAGACAACTGTGTTGCTGGTCTGGATTTTTCCAAATGGAATCTGTCCTTTTCACATGGACGTCTGGATGACTGTAGCTTTTTGTGGCAAAGTTTCTGTGACATTAAGAATCATATGCTATACACAAAGCTGAATCTCAAATGTGAATGAGTTGTCTGTAAACAAGGCTCTGTAGAGATTTTTATGAGCAATAATTAATTTTAGTTGCAATGTTGGGTTCAAATTCCATTATTTACTTGTTCAACCTTCATGATATTTGGCTCTTACTTTGTAATCTGATTAGTTTAATAATTGCATGGCATGGTCCAGTAGAGCTGTGAACTTGCAGCTCCCTTGGCTTCACTGTGATTTACAGATGCTCAGCACAATTAGACTATGGCCTCTGCTCAGTGTAGGATATTGGTGTTCTTTATCTACTTCTGAATGCTGATGAAACTCTAGTCATTGCATTTTGTTATGAATTTTTGTATAAGAAATAATCACTTCATAAATATCCATGCTATGTATGCGTGCAGTTTTGCAAGTATGCAAAGTATTGGGAATAAATGGCAGTAAAAGTCATGAACTGAATAATGTAGAGAGGCTGATTAATGTAGAATGGCACTTTTAAAAGTAGAAAATAAGCTAAAGTCATGCAAAGTTTACTCCCCCCCCCCCCCCCCCCCCCCCCCCCCCCTTTTTTTTTTCCCTATTTGTTCTTCTGTATCAAATTGCCAAGAAGTGTGATGAAGATGAGCAGCTACAACTGTGACCAAAATTCAGTCCGGCGGTCAACTGTTATTTTGCTTATGCAGACCTGTTCTCATCCTCTTGGATAACCTCACAGGCACTAGTGTTTCTCTCTACACAACACCCGGGTGGTAGGGAAGACAGAAAAAAACAGTATAGAGGGAGATGATGTCGTCCCCGCTTCTCATGCTGGCTCACCTAGCGTCCTTGTCATCTTCCTCGCTCCACAGGCTGCTCAAATCCACAGAGGCTCTCCAGAGTGCCGGGGGAGCCGACCTTTTCCTTGTGCCAGAGCAGAGAGATTTGTAATTGGAAGCTCCTCTCCTGAGGAGCAGTGTGAGTCAAATGGAGCAAAGAAGGATTAATTATAGAAGTCCCACAAAGCTAGCTCGTAGGGATGCGATTTGCCCTCGTTTGAGGAGTAGCGCATGGTTACCTTTCACCACAAACAGATGAGAAACATGATTATGCCTCCCAAGCTACTGCTGTGACCTCCAGTGAGGATGTTGTCTCCTCCAGAAATATGTTCTTAAACTGAGACACTGCAGCATAGGCCAGAAGATCCTTCTGGAAGTCAATGACATAGGTTTGCCCACAGCTGTCAGACCAAACTTTAACATGGTTTGCAGTACTGGATAGATGCTATATTACACACCTGTGAACGAACTCTTGGGAGTAGGGGCAGAGCTGTGGCAACAAAGCTGCCTACCTCACTTGCACAGAAGAAATGCGTGACAGACAGCCACTTTTCAAACCCTGCAGAATTAAGCAATTCTCTGCTGTCACCTCAGAGTTACAGCGTAGGCCCCGGTTCTGTATGGTGAGGTGCCAGTATCCATCCAAGATCCCTCTGAAACTGGCAGAAATCCAGTCAGCTTGCAGGATCCTGTCATTTTGTTGTCCCATCAAATAACACCCGTGCATAAGACCAGGGGTGCTAGATTCACCATTCTGTGTACAGTGAAGTATCTTTCATACCTCCATTGTAACGACAAAAGACTTTTTTCTTAATGCGTAATTTAGTTTAAAGAATTGAAGTTCATTTTTATTTATTAACACACTTGACCTGAAGTTAGTAACAGGTTGTATCTTGACGGGCAAAATTTACTGTAGTCAGTTTTTTCATATATTCATCCTCAAAGCTTGGGAGAGGATTTTTTTTTAATTGTCTTCTTTTTTTAACCATTTCTCTTAACAGTAAGATTTCAGCAATAAGGGGAAATATGTTTTTAGCACAAGAGCAATAAAATTCTCCATGTTGCGGCTACTATAAACTGCTGAGTAAACTCAGAGCAATAGAGAGGAAGCAATACATTCTTTAGACAACAAATAGTAACTTGCATAAGGACTTTAAGTAAGCAGAAGTCTTCCTTTGTTAAGCAATTGCTATCAGACTGATGTGGGACATTATTTCTGGTTGGTTTGTGTTACAATTACTGAGTTCCTGAATAGAGTTACTCGGCAATAACCTTTTACCTTAGTTCTTGGATACTGAATTCATGCTATTTGCACGAGAGAATTATGTACTGCAGTGGGGATTTTTATTCTTTTCATTGTTTGGCATTTAGTTGTACAGCATTCTATGGATAAGTTCATTGCGTTCAGGATTTCCAATTGTAACTTAATACTGAGAAAGGCCTGCTGTTACTGCTGTGACTTCCTACCATGGACAGTCAGTGACAGAAGCAGCTACGTCCATCCTTCGTGTTCAGGGGCTAGCCTTGAGGCATCTCAGAGTCATTAAACCCCCTCCATAGACAGCAGTGAACCTTGGCTTAGACCAGCAGCCGTTTTGTCCCCAAAGAGTTATTTTTCTGTTGCCTCATTTTCTTAGGGATTGTTTAGCTTTTAAAATAAGATACTTGTGGATTCATTTCTCAAAAGTGATGAGCAACCTGCAGTGTGACTGGACGTTGGGATAAAATAGCATTGCTACAAATCAAGCCCCGAAATGTAACTACACACTCATTACTTAAAAAAAAAAAAAAGTGGTTCTGTAACATTCAGAACCATATTTTCAAAATGTTGGCCCTGACTTTTATGGAGAGAAAGTATGTATAGTCTGGTTTTTGTATGTACAATAAAGAAAGAGAAAGAAGAATTGGACAGTCATCACTATTTAAAAAACCACCAGCTATTCTGTCACTTTATCTGAGATACTGAATGGTTCTTAGTCCTTGAAACAGAAACCAACTCTGGCAACTTTCTAGAAAATCGTGAATACCCACAAGTCAGTGTAAAAGCTTTGTAGCAAAAGTAGGAGGACTAGCACAGTTGGCAGTGCAAAACAATTTGATGTAACAGCTCTGTTGTGAGTAGGAATAAGAACAGTATACCTGCACACCAGCTGTAGGCAGATCAAGTCCTAGGCGTATAGGAATAGCACCAGAAAAAGGTGAACAGCGTTTCTTTAAATTGCACTGCTGCAAGAAGACAATATCAGATAGACTCTCACTGGATACGGATCCTATGTTGTAAGAATTGAAGAATATTTTAAAGTGCTACTGGCCAACTATTGAGGAAAAGGTATCGTGGTGGTGTACTTTTTGAGGGGGATCAAGAACGCAGCTAGATCTATGAAAAGTAGTTAAGGATGATGTTAAATATCTGCACGCAGACTCATCACATCTCTTTGGGAGAAGGTCTGAGAATCATTTTAAGGTTTTACTTGGCTGCCTTTTGGAGCAGCCAGTTCTAGAACA